GTGGCCCAACTACATTAGTTGTCCGAGCGAATGGTATTTCGCATTCGTTCGGACAACTTAAAAGCTAGCTGACGCTGACACCTTAAAGTTACTTACATATTCTTTATATTTAGTCCAAGGGTTTTTAAGGTATTATCTGCTAAAAAATAAACAAGCGCAGTTTTTAGCTTGCGTTGTTTGTAAAACAGTCTTCAAACTTGACTTTTGCCTTTGTTTCAAATACATCCATACCTCTAGCTCCGATACAGTTAAAGATGCACCAAATCCGAGAGCAGTGATTGATTCAGAATGTGCTGTTTCAGGGGGGTTATTCCTCTGTCTTTTTTCGATTTGAGGCCTTCTTGTACGTTTTTATGTACAACGAGGCCATTTTCCGAGGGATCCCGCACTAGCCAACTCGTTGTACACTTGCCCGCGCCCAACTCGAGTTTAACCCGCCAAAACTGGGCAAAACTCGTAAAAATTCGCAAGAACCCGCGAAAACTTGCTGGTTCGCGTCAAAATCGCCCAAAGTCTTAATAAATCGATCCCAACTCGCGCCTTTCTCGCGGCAACTCGCCAAATCGTTGTACACCTATTTTGGAAGTAGGGGACCCCTCGCCATTTTCAGCGTATTTTAGTCGAAAAAGCACCTCCAGCGCCCAAACCAGAAGAGATAGAGCCAAACGGACAAAATTTGTGCCCGAAAGGGTTCAACTTTCACGAAATACCGGTGTATCGGCCGTCAAAACCATACGTCCGTCTGGTAGGACGACACTGTCGATTGATTCAAAGGGGCCCAAAGGTGCGTACAGTGCAGTGCGCCGCGGCGAAGCTGGTTTCTTGAATAAAGAACCCTGTAAGGCCTGTTTGCACACCACTAGACCCAGAGTAAGGTTAGACTGCTGCCACAAAAATCAGCGTCGACAAAAAGGATTATTACATTTTACACTTGTCTAGCTGGAAACCTATTTTGAACAGAAAATGCAAATCTGCACTAAATTTACAAACAGCTAGGTACGACTTTCTCAATGCATTGAGTTGTCTTGTCTCACCTTATTCAACAATCCTGGGAACCAACTGATCGTCGGCGAGAGTTTGACTGCCACGCCAAAGCCTGGAAACACAATAGAATCTTATCAGT